TAGCTCGTGGTAGTTTGGATTTACATTTCCCCAATGACAAGTGATGTTAAGCATCTTTTCATCTGACTGTTGGCCATCTGTATGTCTTTGGAGAAATGTCTATTCATGTCTTCTGCCCATTTTTTTTCAATATATGAAATTTATTGTCAAATTGGTTTCCATACAACACCTAGTGCTCATCCCAAAAGATGCCCTCTTCAATACCCATCACCCACCCCACCCACCCCCCATCAACCCTCAGTTCTCAGTTTTTAAGAGTCTCTTATACTTTGGCTCTCTCCCACTCTAACCTCTTTTTCTTCTGCCCATTTTTATATTAGATTATTTGCTTTTGGGGTGTTGAGTAAAAATAGATTCGATTTTTATGACTACTAATATTTTTTAAAGTCAAGAAAAATATGAGATACTTCAGGTAAATAATGTTTTATGTTCACATTGTGAATGCAAGAGATCAGAGAATCAGTGAGACCTACAGGAAGCCTGTGGTTCACAAAGAAAGGAAGCTATTTTATATATTCTTTATTTTTTATATCTATTATTTATGTAGCATAGTACTGGTTGAATAAAAGGTTAAATTGAGATATAGGATTGTTAGCATATATGAACATATTTAACAAATTTTCAATTAAGAAAAACTCATCTAGATTTTATTAAGTAAAGCAGGAGTTACCTTATAATTACCGATTGTGTTACCACTGATAATACAGATTGGCTTTAATGATAACGGTAGGCTCCCTCATAGCGGTATGTGCTTATTTAAAAAAGGTATTAGCGGTGCCTGGGTGGCCCAGTCAGTAAAGCATCTGACTCTTGATCTCAGCTCAGGTCTTAATCTCAGGGTTGTGAGTTCAAGCCCTGCACTGGGCTCTGCACTGGGCCTGAAGCCTACTTTAAAATAGAAAAGAAAAAAGAATTAGTATTAGTGACATAAGATTGCAGCCATTATGGCCTTGGACAATTTATGAAAATCAAATATGCAGTCTTAAAATTAAATGTGAATATAAATACCCAGGAGTACCCCCATCTGTAAGATTTATAATAAAAATTAATATGAATGGAGTTAAGAGTTCTAATGCAGTGGTGGACCCAAGAGACATATCAGTGTTAGCAAAATGGCAGAATTCATATAGCATCAAAGTTGTCCTGTGAGAGCTTCAGCGCCTAATGATGTCTAAAGAAAACGAAACTGCCTCAGCCACTGGAAGGACACTGTTACAATAAGTATTCAAAAAGAAAAACCACAGCCCCCTTCCCCCAGTTCGACTGACTGACTGGAAGAGTGTCCCATAATACAAGAGACTTTTTAAGAATTCAAATATATGATTACTACTCTTTTTTCTAACCTTTATTTATTTATTTATTTTTTTTTTGAGAGACAGAGCATGAGCCGGGGAGAGGCAGAGAGAGAGAGACACACACAGAATCTGAAGGAGGCTTCAGGCTCTGAGCTGTTAGCTCAGAGCCCAACATGGGGCTCCAACCCATGAACTGAGAGATCATGACCTGAGCAGAAGTCCAGTGCTCAACGGACTGAGCCACCCCATACAGGCACCCCATACTACCCTTTTTTTTCTAAGAGAATTTTAGAGGAGGGTTTATTCTTTTTTTTACACATGTAATATAGTTGCTATGTACACTTGAAAGCCCATATTAGAATGGAATACAGCAATACAAAACTTGATTGTTGTTTTTAATTTTTTAATGTTTATTAATTTTTTGAGAGAGAAAGAGTGAGTGAGAAAGAGTGAGGGGCAGAGAGAGAGAGAGGGAAGCATAGAATCCAAAGCAGGCTCCTGGCTCTGAGCTGTCAGCACAGAGCCTGACACGGGGCGTGAACCTATGAACTGCGAGATCATGACCTCAGTCAAAGTAGGACACTTAACCAACCGAGCCACCCAGGTGCCCCACAAAACTTGTTTCAATTTAAAAACTGCTATTCTTGGGACACCTAGCTCGTTCAGTTGGTGGATCATGTGACTCTTTTTTTTTTTTTTTAAGTTCATTTATTTTGAGAGAGAAAGAAAGAGTGAGCAGGAGAGAGTCTGAGAGGTAAGGAGAGAAAGAATCCCAAGTAGGCTCTGCACGGTCAACACGAAGCCCACTGTGGGGCTTGATCCCATGAACCATGAGATCATGACCTGAGCTGAAATCAAGATCCGATGCTCAACTACTGAGCCATCCATGCACCCCCAGAGGGGTACATTCTTAAGCATTAAGGTGATTCTTGGTTTTCCTCTAGGCTAAGTATGATTCTATATATAGGAATCAAGTTAGAGCAAATCTCGAGTTTTTGCCAGCAAGTCATTTCAGTGAAGATTTCATCAGTATTGTATATATGCCAAGTCATGAGTTCTTTTCAAATTTAGGAGCTAGTTTATGACGGTAGAAACAATTTTGGCAGTAGGAAGGGAACTGAGTTCTAGTCCAACTATGTGACCTTAGGCAAATCATTAACTTTTATGTATCTCATTTTCTTCATCTTTAAAACAAATATTTGATTAAAGTTCTTTTAAAATCTGAAATTGTAGGGCATCTGCGTGGCTCAGTTGGTTGAGCCTTGACTCTTGATTTCATCTCAGGTCATGATCTCACAGTTCATGGGATTGAGCCACATGGGGCTCAGCGCTGACAGCATGGAGCCTGTTGGGATTCTATCTCTCCTTCTCTCTCTCTGCCCCACCCCTGCGCTCCCTTCCTCTCTGAAAATAAATAAACTTAAAAAAAATCTGAAATTATAGTTTAATGGTTTTGTGAAGATTTAGCTTTATAAAGACATGTTTGAACCATAATAGTATTAGAAACATTGAAAATTCAATCAGGGTGATTCATAAAAAGGAGTGAATTGTGGGCATCTTGCCTGGCTTACAGAATGTTATTAAATCTGAATCATTGTTACCCATATCAAACTTAAGTCCATGACTGATAAGCCTACCTCTCTGTCTTTTTACCCTCTCTTTTAATAACAGTTTTATTGAGGTAGGATTCACATACCATACAATTCACTCATTTAAAGTGTACAATTCAGTAATTTTTAGTATACTCACAGAATTGCACAGCCATCACCAGAATCAATTTTAAACATTTTCATCACCCCATTAGGAATGTACCTGTAAGCAGTCACTTTCCCTTTCTCCTCAAACTCCCAGCCCTAGGCAACCCCTAATCTACTTTCTGTCTCTATATAGATTTGCCTATTCTGAACACTTCTTATAAATATGTGGCCTTTTGTGTCTGGTTTCTTTCACTTAATACAATATTTTTCAAGGTTTATCCTTACTGTAATATATAGCAACACTTTATTTCTTTTTGTTGTCAAACAGTATTCCATTGTATACCACATTTTTATCTGTTCATCATTTGATGGACATTAGGGTTGTTTCCACTTTTTGGCTATTGTGAATAATGCTACTACAAACATTTGCGTATAAGTTTTTGTGTGGACATATGTTTTTATTTCTCTTGGATATATACCTAGAAGTGGGAGCTGGGTCTTATGGTTATTCTATTTAATAATTATTTGAGGAACTGCTGGGCTGTTTTCCAAAGCGGCCCCGCCGGTTTACATTCCCACCAGTAATGTACCAGGATTCTAATTTCTCTACATCCTCCCTTACACTTAGTATTTTCTCTCTTTTTGATTTTAGGCATCCTAGTGGGTGTGAAGTGGTGTTTCATTGTGGTTTGATTTGCATTTCCCTGACGTTGAAGGATGTTGAGCATCTATTCATGTGCTTATTAAGGCTACCTCTTTGGCTGACTTCTGATGTTGGGAATGTGATGTGGTTGAAGTTGATCTACTTTTTCCCTCTTTTCCCTCAAGTGTCAATTGAGCATTCTGAAGTATCAAATAAGCAATCTTTTGTTACTACTGGTAGAGAGTAAATCAAAGCTGTAATTTAATCCATGCATCTGTTTTCACCTGTATTTCTGTAAAATGCAACAACAAAGAATTTTATTGGAAGTATGACCTGTATTTTACATTTGATTTTTTAAATTTTTTTATTTATTTTTGAGAGAGCAAGAACCAGCAGGGGAGGAACAGAGAGAGAGGGAGACAGAGAATCCCAAGCAGGCTCTGCACTGTCAGCATGGAGCACAATGTGGGGCTGGAACCCACAAACCATGAGATGATGACCTGAGCCAAAATCAAGAGCTGGATGTTTAACCGACTGAACCACCCAGGCACCCCAGTATGACCTGTATTTTGGTTGGAATTGTTACCTATCTTTGATTAGGGGACAGAACTTTCATTGATATATTTTAACACCGAAATCTTGGCAATTTGCTGTATCTTTCGAACGTTCATGAGTAAAACTACAACATAGAAAGCAATATCTTGTCTGGGACAGGGATGCCTGGGTGGCTCAGTTGGTTGTACATCCAACTCTTGATTTCGGCTCGGGTCATGATCTCATGGTTCATGGGTTCGGGCCCTGCATCAGGCTCTGTGCTGACAGCTCAGAGCCTGCTTGGGATTCTGTCTCCCTCTCTCTCTGCCTCTCCCCCGCTCATTCAGTCTCTCTCAAAATAAATAAAAGCAAACTTAAATATCTTAGTCACACAAAGATGTGAATGAAGCATGTCTGGGAATCTGGTAGAAAACCTTTTCATATTTATATTAGCCCTATTTCCTTTGTGTTATGAAAGTTTTGTGTATTAATACAGATGTATAATTGTTTTTCATGAGCCTTTTTAACTTAGGATGTGGCCTAAAATAGGTTAGTTTGAAATGATACTTTTGTTACTACAAACTTAATTTATTAAATTAAGAGTACTTAGTTTTAGGGACACCTGGCTGGCTCAGTCGATAGAGCACGTGACTCTTGATTTCAAGGTTGTGAGTTCAAACCCCACGTTGAGTGTGAAGCCTACTTAAAGAAAAAAAAAAAGAATATTTAGTTTTAGTAGAGATTTTGCTCTTAAAAAAGTTAATTGTTGCAGTCTAGATTTGTCTTAGTTCAGTCAGATATGTGAAGTAATGTTTTTTATTTCCATTCCAGAAATACATGCTACAGGATTTAATTATCAGAATGAAGATGAAAAAGTCACCTTGTCTTTTCCTAGCACTCTCCAAACAGGTAAGAGTCATGGCTTTTGTAAGATCCCATGTGACATCTTATTTCTTCCAAAGTAGTGACATCTTACTTCTTCCAAAGAAATTTGTCGTGTGCCTTTTTTTTCCCCCTCACCGTTTTTTTTTTCTCAATATATGAAGTTTATTGTCAAATTGGTTTCCATACAACACCCAGTGCTCATCCCAAAAGGTGCCCTCCTCAATCCCCTCACCGTTTTAAGCAGATTAAATATTAAGACAAAGCTTTTGAAAGAGGTTCATTAAAGCTTTTGGGCCACCAGGAAAAAAGATGACCAAAACTAATGATCATCCTATCCTAGAACATAATGCATTGTTTTTCACCTTTTTAGTTTCAGCTTTTAAAAAAATACAGTTACTCAGCTCTGTCTTTCCATACTTGAATCCACATGTCTGAGGTGAATTTCCCACAGATGATTTTGATGTATATTATGCAAGTGAGGGCACGAAAGGAAATATTTGTTGATACGATACTATTATTAGGTATAAAAGCACAAAGAAAGGGGTGCCTGGATGGCTCAGTGGTTAAGCGTCCAACTTCGGCTCAGGTCATGATCTCATGGTTTGTGAGTTCGAGCCCTGTGTCAGGCTCTGTGCTGACAGCTCAGAGCCTGGAGCCTGCTTCAGATTCTGTGCCTCCCTCTCTCTCTCTGTCCCTTCCCCGCTAGCACTCTGTCTCTTTGTGTCTCTCTCAAAAATAAATAAAATTAAAAAAAAACACACACAAAGAAAAAAGAAGACTGAGCTTAATGTAGTATAAGAAATTACATACAAGTCAATTGGTAAAGCACTATATGACTTTGATTTATGATCAATTTGAAAAGCAGCAGGTGAAGTACACTTGTGATGAGCACCGAGAGTTGTATGGAAGTATTGAATCACTGTATTGAAAATCTGAAACTAATATAACACTGTGCATTAACTAACTGGAATTAAAAGTTAAAAAAGAAAGCAACAGGTAATTTGTATAAAAGAAAATGCAAGTGACTAAAACATGTGAAAAGACATTTGACTTCCTAGTAATGAGAAATATGAAAACAGCATTTACTGATACACCAGTTTTTGTCTGTTATGTAAGCTAAAGTTAAAAAAAAGATTCTTAATGATTTGACTACTTTGATATTACTGGTGGGAGTGCAAATCCATGCAGTGTAGTTGGAAGGCAGTCTGGAAATATGTATCAAAAGCCTGGGGGGCCTGAGGGGCTCAGTTGGTTAAACTTCTGACTCTTTAATCTTGGCTCAGGTCATGATTTCACAAACTGTGAGATCAAGCCCCCTGTCAGGCACTGTGCTGACAGCATGGAGCCTACTTGGGATTCTCTCTCTCTCCTCTCTCTGCTCTTTTCCTGGTCGTGCTCTCTCTTGCACTCTCAGAAAAAAATAAACTTAAAAAAACATGTCTACACATGTTCATGTCTTTTGACTCAGCAGTTCTGAATATAAAGAAAAATCCTAAATGCAAGAAATGCTTTATGCTTAGAAATGTCTGTTGAGACATTACTTAAGGCAGTAAAAAATAAGAGTGAATATATTTACCCAACAGTAAGGGAATAATTAAGCTAATTATGACATATCAGTATGGTGGAATATATATAGCAATTAAAAGTGAGGTTATGAATTCTTAATGCTGTGAAGTGCTTGTTATAGTGTAAAATCGAAAACCAGAATACAAAATTACATATACAAGGTGATGAATCATATCCCTAAAATTGTACAAATAAAATGGTATGTCTGGTTATTGACATATTGATTATTTTTATTCTTATTTATACCTTTTTTTAGTTTCCGTAATTTTTAAAAATGTTTATTTACTTTGAGAGACAGACTGTGAGCAGGTTAGGGGCAGAGAGAGAGAGTTGAGAGGGAGAGAGAGAGAATTCCAAGTGGGCTCTGCACTGTTAGCACAGAGCCCGACGTGGGGCTTCAACTCGTGAACTATGAGATCATGACCTGAGCTGAAGTCAGGAGTCAGATGCTAAATCGACGGAGCCACCCAGGTGCCCCAGTTTCCATAGTTTTTATACTGATAATATATTGCCTAGTATTTTTAGAAAAAATTAAAAAAACTTTTTTTACATTTATTCATTTTTGAGAGAGATAGAGCACAAGTGGGGGAGGGGCAAAGAGAGAGGGAGACACAGCCTCTGAAGCAGGCTCCAGGCTCTGAGCTGTCAGCACAGAGCCTGACGTGGGGCTCGAACCCACAAACCATGAGATCATGTGAGCTGAAGTCAGACACTTAACCAACTGAACCATCCAGGCACCCCTAGAAAAATTTTAAATCGGAGTTTTATTTTTTATATCAGTCCTCTTTTCATTTTGCCTTTTTCTAACTAGGATTTCTTGTATGAAATGATCATAAAAATAAATGTTTTGCCATGAACATGTATTAAAAGATACTGAATAATATAACATAAAAATTGAGATTTCTCTTCCTCTGGTCCCTTCCACTTCCATCATCTGGTGAATCCTTCAAGAAATATTTCATCTAGGGGCGCCTGGGTGGCTCAGTCAGTTAAGTGTCTGACTTCGGCTCAGGTCATGATCTCACAGTTTGTGGGTTCGAGCCCTGCGTCGGGCTCTGTGCTGACAGCTCAGAGCCTGGAGCCTGTTTCAGATTCTGTGTCTCCCTCTCTCTCTGCCCCTCCCCTGTTCACGCTCTGTCTCTGTCTCAAGAATAAACATTTTTTAAAAATTAAAAAAAATAAAGAAATATTTCATCTATGTAGAAGTATATACATACATTTTCATCTACAAATGGGATGACAAATCTCAGTGGCTTACAGCAGAGAATTCTTGCTTACACACAGCCCTGAGGACTGCTGCAGCCTTCTTTCCACCTTTACCTAAGAGCTCCACTCAACTCACAACTCTTCTCTTTCTAGGACCTGTAGTAAGCAGCTTCTGCAACTCAGGGATGGGGACAGAAACAAACCATAAAGATACATTTAACGCTTCTGCACGAATGGTGGTATACTTGATGTCCATTCTCATTTCACTGGTTGAAGCAAATAGCATGGCCAAGCCCAAAGTCACTGGGGCAACAATTACCAGATATTTGACTAAACTTCTATGAAAGAGTCAAAAACCAGACAATAATAGAAATATAGAAACTTGCTACAAGACAAAAATAAAGTCACAAAAAACCCCACAAAACAAATGAATATCCTTAGAGATATTGTTAATAGCACATTCATCAAATAAGAACAGGACAGAATGTTATCAAACAGAATTAGAGCAAGAAAACTTTGGAAATTATAATACAGTAGAAATAAAAAAACTTAGGGAGCCTGGATGGCTCATTCGGTTAAGCGTCTGACTCTTGATTTCGGCTCAGGTCATGATCTCATGGTTCATGAGTTCAAGTCCTGTGTGGGGCTGGGCACTGACAGTGCAGAGCCTGCTTGAGATTCTCTCTCTCCCCCTCTCTCTCTGCCCCCTCTCGCGCACATGTTTGTGCCCTCTCTCTCAAAATAAATAAATAAAAACGTAAAACAAAAAAAGAAAGAAAAAACTCAATAGAAGTTTTGGAAAATGAAATAGAGGAATCTTACAAACGGGAAGAAGATTTGAGGACCAATCTATCAGAACCAACATCCATCTAGTAGAAGAGGGGACAGAGAAAATGAGAAGAGAAAATTATTAAAGACACAAACAAGAAAATTCCTTTGAACTGAGGGGATTGGAATCTTCATTTTGAAAAGGTACACCACCGAGAGGGACTAACTTAATAAATGTAAAAAATGCCGTATCATTGCAAATCTTAGAACTTCCAGGGATAAAAGTGAGGCTCTCAAAGAGTTTCTCCCCAAAGTCAGGGGGTTGGGAGGAAGGAGGGAATGCTAGCAGGTTACCTTCCAAGTTCAGGAATCAAAATAACAGTAGACTGGGGAGTGGGTAAAATGGGTGAAAAGGAGTGGGAGATACAGGCTTCCCTTTATAGAATAAGTTGGGGGGGATTAGAAGTACAGCATAAAAAACACAGTCAGTGGGATTGTAATAGTTTGTATGGTAACAGGTGGTAGCTACACTTGGATGAGCACTGCAAAGCTTATAGACTTGCCAAATCACTATGTTTTATACCTGAAACTAATGTAACATTGTGTGTCAACTATACTTGAATGAATGATATTTTGTTTTTAAAAAAGGGATAGTAGTAGACCATCAGGAACAATGGAAACTAGACCCTAATGAAGCCATTCCTTCAAAATTATGAATGAATATGATTCTCAACCTAGAATTAATTCTGTGCTTAGCCAAATTGTGAATTTAAAGAGGGTAAAATAAAGATATTTTCAGATTTGCATGGTCATAAAAAAAAAATTTAACTCTTTGTAAAAAATAAAGGAGTGGGAGATGTAATTTAGCTAAAACTTTACTTTCTATAATAAAAAGAAAATAATATGTAAAATTGAAAAATGAAGAAATAGCTGTATAAGCAAGGTATTTAGAAATCACAGAGTTGGGGTGCCTGGCTAGCTCAGTCGGTTAAGCTTCTGACTCTTGATTTTTGCTCAGGTCATAATCTCCCATTTATGAGATAGAGTCCCGCATAGGGCTCTGCACTGACAGCTCTGAGCCTGCTTGGGATTGTCTCTCTCCCTGTCGCTCTCTCTCTCTGTCTCTCTCTCTTTCTCTCTCTCTCTCTCTCTCTCTCTCAAAATAAATAAACATTAAAAAATAATAATAAAGGGGCACCTGAATGGCTCAGTCGGTTGAGTGTCTGACTTCTGCTCAGTTTCATGATCTTGAGTCCTGCACTGGGCTTGCCGCGGTCAGCCTGTCAGCACAGAGCGTGCTTCAGATTCTCTGAAAAATCCCCTCCCACCCCTCCCCCATGCAAGCTCGCTTGCCCTCTCTCTCTCTCTCTCTCTCTCTCTCTCTCTCTCTCTCTCTCTCAAATAATAAATAAAACCTAAAAGTTTAAAAAATAATAAAAATAAAATTCATAGGATATATAGTGGAAATGTGTTTGCCATTCTAGTCCTAACTCAGCTCTACTCAAAAGCAACCAGTTTCCTATGTATCCTTTCAAAACTATTCCATAGTTTTGTAAACATGTCTGTATATACTGTTTAAGAACACAGACGTTAGGGGCACCTGGGTGGCTCAGTTGGTTGAATGTCCGACTTTTGGTTTCGGCTTGGGTCATGATTTCATGGTTTGTGGGTTTGAGCCCTGCATCCGGCTCTGTGCTGACAGGGTGAAGTCCTCTTGGGATTCTCCCTCTTTGCCCCTCCCTTGTTGGCTTTCTTTCTCTAAACAAACAAACCAACCTAAAAAAAAAACCCATAAAGGTTAGCATGCCACACATCATATTCTGTACCCTTCTTTTCCCCTTAATTGTGTGTGTATTTGGAGAAATACCGGGTGATACTGACATTTTGAAGAGTGAAAAACAGGTTCACAGGAAATGGTGGCATGAAGGCAGAGACCTTTACTCTCTTTTTATACAAATTAATCTGTCTTTACTTTTTAGCATTTAGTAGGCTCATTAAATTCTATTGAAGTATTTCAAGGTCTACATGAGGTTTTATAGCAGTTCTATCCTAAGCAGGATAGCAAATAGAGTTTTTGGTAGAAGTTGCAATTTTTCTGTTGTTTAATTCATAAATGAATTTATTGTATGTTTTAAAAGGTTTACCATTCCAAGCATATAAGTATTGCATACACTGGATATTGAAATAAGGTGTCTAATGTGAGGAACAATGTAAATTTTGTACACAAACAGGTATAAAATTAGACAGTCTGGCAATCAGTTCTTCAGTATGCTGTAAATTTGATAAGTTGACGTTTATTAAGAAGTCTTTTCTCTCCTGTTTTTGCCCTAAAATTCTATATTAGTGTAAGCATTTTGTAATTAGTATTGTATGTGACACTACTTAAATTTATTAATGATTTTTTAAAACTTTAACTTGTGTTTTGTTTGAATTTCAGGTAATAACCTTTTCCAATACTTTGTATTTTGTTTAGTATGCCACTTTTTTGGAAGTGGTCACTATCAGTATCTTGTTATGGTTTGATGGCCTTGGAGATTTAAAACCGAGTAAAAGTGTAAGCAGCCTTTCTTATTTAGTTACGAGTTTTGAATCCATTTGTATTCCAAATAGGAAAAGGCAAAAGTAGATTTTCCATGGAGTATGAATTACATAAAAGAAATTTTAACAGTTGACTTAGTGAAAACAGACTGGCAGTTTCCATTTATGGGAATTGCAACATAACATTGCATCATACAACTTCCCTTTAAAGGTAGTGGGTTTTTAGAATCTATTAGATATTCCTTATAAACTTTATTAATGTGACTATATCTGCTTTTTTAAAGATTAGTGAATTCCTAAAGAAAACAAATTTTATACTATAATTCTTTAGTATATAATACTATATATACATATCATTTGGTATCACTCATTTAGAATTCTTTCACATTCTTTTATTGTATTCTTATTTACTGTCCCAGTAATCTGTCATTCTCTTTAAGAAAGTATTCATTGTCCCCTTCAGACAGAATGTCTGATTTTTAAAAAATCAGAGTCACAAACATTTATTTAAATAAACTTCAGTTTTTTTCCCAGCATGATTATTTTAAGAATATGGCACTTTTTGGGTGCCTGGCTGGCTCATCAGGAGAGCGTGCGACTCTTGATCTTGGGGTCATGAGTTCAGGCCCTGCGTTGCATGCACAGCTTACTTAAAAAAAAAAAAAAAAAAAATAGAACATGGCACTTTGTTGAGTGATGACTTTGCCACAAAGGTCTGAAATTTTCACTTGAAATTACTTTCAGAATGAGTTTGAGGTACATAAGGAAATCAGTTTAATTACTTAATTGACATACTTAATAGACCACAGTGTTTTGTCCAGAAACAGTTTGCAGTTTGTCATTCACTTATTCTGTAGACTTGGACTCTTCGTGACTTTTGGACCTTTTTAAAAAAGTTGAATTTTGCAAGGTGAAGATTTGACTTTGAGAACATCCGAAAGGATATGTCAGAAAGATAAAGAGTCAAGAACATTTTAAACAATGTCAGTGGCATTGCTCTGTGGCATTCCAAAATGACAGTTTAAAACATTAGGGTATAAAATGTTTTAGAATGATTGCCTAATTACTTTATAATCATACTATGTCTTTGATTTGTTAGATTCCCATGCTCTAGCTCTTGTTATAAATAGGCACTTTTAAAAGGATCAAGTAAAAGTCAACATTTTTCTGGTTGGTTTTTGGGGGGGGTTTAATTTGTAAAATGTAGAATGGGATTATTGTTTTGTCATGCATCTGAATTTCATAGATGACTATAGATAATGATTTTTCTGTTGTGAAAGAAAGTATATATACTCACAAAAACTCCCATTTTGTCTAATTTGGTTTGCCCTTATACAATAATAGAATATATATTCAAGTTGCATTTTTATTTGCATTTAGTAATTATTGATTAAATGTATTTCTTTTATCATTTCAAATGATTGAAGTGACTATAAGAGTTTTTATGCCCCTTTGCTAGCCAAATCATTGATCTTCCATATATAGTTCCTTACAAAAGTAGGGAATCAGTGTTCCATTTGGATTGAACAGATAAGGTCTTATCTTACTGATAGAGTAATTGGCATGAATTCATCTAAATGGACCAATTTATATGGCATAATTGGCAAAGGACATGAATTTTGGATTAAGCAGGCCTAAATTTTTATCTCATTCTTGCTGCTTACTAATCGTGTGACCTCAAGCAAGTTATTGAAGTCAGTTTCCTCATCTGAAAAAAATGGAGACTATACCAACTTTCAAGTTTCTAAATATTTTTAAAGCACCATGCACAGTAACATGTCATACATTTATTAACAAATGTTCATTTCCTCTTCTGTTTTTATCTTTATGTATTGGTGATTTGAGATGAAGTTAATACAGTTAAAGAACTTAAAAAAAATTTTTTTTTAACATTTATTATTGAGAGACAGAGAGAGACAGAACATGATCATGGGAGGGGCAGAGAGAGGAGGAGACACAGAATCCAAAGCAAGTTCCAGGCTCTGAGCTGTCAGCACAGACCCGACGCAGGGCTCGAACTCAGAAACCGTGAGATCATGACCTGAGCCGAAGTCAGACAGTCAACTGACTGAGCCACCCAGGCGCCCCAATACAGTTAAAGAACTTTATAAGCAGTCACCCTAAACATGATGTTAAGATTCCTAACAATCCTAACTAATCCTAAACTTTAGGATTAGTCTGCCATTTCCTTTAGTAAATACTGTATTCTCTCCTTTGCTGGGAGAAGTGTTTGAGAAAGGAAAGAATGAGTTGAACGTTGTAACAGGTCAGCTAAGTTAGTGTCTTAAGGACGTATTTTTAATAACTTGAACTAATATCTATATTAAAGTGGTTTTCATTCATTTTCAATCACAGGTACAGGAACCTTAAAGATAGATTTTGTTGGAGAGCTGAATGACAAAATGAAAGGCTTCTACAGAAGTAAATATACTACCCCTTCTGGAGAGGTGCGTTATGCTGCTGTCACACAGTTTGAGGTATGGTATTCTTCTCTAAAATATTACGATCTTGATGTATAAACATTCTGACAAAGTTCTGTTCTATTATTTGCATGATTATTCTGTTCCCTTCATATTGGTTTATGTCTAATGTCTGTCCCTCAAATGAATTTTTGAGAGCTTTCATCACTTTGTCTTTTAGATATTTGAGAAACTGGTTTTTTTTTTTTAGAAACTTTTAAATCTTATCCATGTTAATTCATTTAATTTCTTCTAGTATCAATTCATTTACCTACTGCTGCTGCTCCTAATCGAAAAGTTTTCTGTGCTACCATTTCTTTCCTTATACACTATTTACTTTTCAAATAAGTAAGTAGAATGAATTCATCATTTATTTAACTTCTTTTAGAGTGCAGCCAGCCATCTAACATTTTCCTTGGAGAAACTTTTTTCCAAAAGTATGTGCTTCCTCTACTTCTGCATATTTTGTTCCTTCTTTTCAAGATACAGCATCTTGTCATCGGTTCTTTTTTTTTTTTTTTTACTTCATTCTGTTTTGTTCAAGTTTCTTTCAAAACTGAACCACTAAACATTATTTTGCTTAACAAGTTTGCTCCCCTTTTTTTTTGAGAGAGAGAGAGAGAGAGATAGAGAGCTCAAGCGAGGGAGAGGGGCAGAGGGAGAGAGAGAAAGAATCTTAAGCAGGCTACATGCTCAGTGTGGAACCCAATGTGGGGCTCATTCTCACAACCGTGAGATCATGACCTGGGCTGAAATCAAGAGTCACATGCTCAACTGACTGAGCCACCCAGATGCCTTTCTTAAAAAACAAATTAATTTGTTCTTTGTTTATTTTTAAAGGAAAAAATGAGGTCTCTTTAAGTAGGTCAAGTGGTGGCAGTTTTATGTGTAGTATATGGAAATGCCATTAAACGAATGACCTGTTTAGAACTGATGAGGGCATCTGTCTTTATTCCTGTTGCTGTCATTTCAGATGAAGAACAAAGCACATTGAAGATTCGGGGCGGGGGGGGGGGGGGTTAATAAATCCAGAGAAGCAACCTGTGTTCCCAGCTCTGAATCCTTACTGTGTACTTGTTGACTCTCCTATGCTCTGTGTTTTGTAACATTACTGCTGAAGCCATTTACATTGAATTTTTGATGTTGAAATGTTTTGTTAAAAATATTCTAAAATAATCTAATACTATAGACTGTTAAGACCTGTAGCAGACCTAATTCCTGGATTATTGTTTATTGTTTGTTTCTGTTTGTTTGGGGTTGCTGATGGGGCAGTGATAGTAAGCCTATGTTCTCCTTGTAGTCACTGCCTAGCTTGTTGCCTGACACTGAGTAGAAAGTAAACATTTAAACAAGTGAAGGAATGGATGATAGAAATAAGATAATGGCAGTTACTTCATGAAATAGTTGGTTAGGTTAATTCAGTAATATTTAGATTTCATATTCTTTTCTTAAGGCTACGGATGCTCGGAGGGCTTTCCCTTGCTGGGATGAGCCTGCCATCAAAGCAACTTTTGATATCTCGTTGGTTGTTCCTAAAGACAGAGTAGCTTTATCAAATATGGTATGTATGTGTTTGTAAGTATATTTAAATTTTGAATAAGTGTTTAGAATATTTAGTTTGCTGGTTAGATGGAATAGCGTGAAACCGCCTAGCACACAATGCTTGATACAGAATGGGAACATAAATGTTAGTTTTCTTATTTCCAGTAAGCCCTCTTTTTTAAAACTGCCTTATTTGGAATTTCCCTCCTCATGGAAGAAATTCCTTATAAACTTTAATTTGGAAAACTAAATAAGTGATGAGTTTAATAAATATTACCTGAAAAAAAAATCTGGCTTTCTTGTTAATAATGCCAAAAGATATAGCCATATAATGAAGTGTGTATTTAGGTTTTTGGTTGATTGTACTCTTGGAATATGCTCTTTTCACTGATGTCATTGATCTCTTTCATAAATAGAGTAGGCATTTACCACATGAAGTATATTGATTAAGACAGAGAGTACCCTATAGCCTATAATACGAATCTGGGGAACTTGGAAAAGCCTACTGTACCTGAAAATAACTGGCTTTTGCCTCCTTTATCGGTAGAGAGAATTCCATAGATAGAATGCCATTCTCTTCTCGAATGTTCCTAAAAGGAGAATAATACATTAAACTGAGATATTCTTTTACCGTTTAGTATGAATGAAATTATCAGGTCTGTTCTTGAGTAAGTCTTCCTTGGAAGAAAGAATAGAGAGATCTTGAGGAAATGGAGAGCCTGAATAGGAAAAAGAGGGGTAACAAAAAAGAGAAATGAGGAACTCTGTAGGTAAAAGTGGAGATTCTTCCACAAATTTGCTTAGAACCAGCCTTGGTATAGAGAATGCGCTAAATTTAGAAATCTGTACCCTTTGAAATGTAGATTTCACAATTACACTTCATTAATAATTATTTGCCTTCTATCCTTCTTTCACTTGAAAAGCATTGAGGTCTTACATCCCAGTGCCTGGCATATAATAGGTATCCAGGAAAAGTTGCTGCTTTTCTCTCACAGATCCTTGGTAGTTTTAGCCCCCAACCTCTTAATGTATCCTTTAAAAAAAAATTTTTTTTAATGTTTATTTACCTTTGAGAGAGAGAGAGCGTGCGCGCTCCTGCGCAGGCAGGTGAGGGTCAGAGAGAGAGGGAGACACAGAATCTGAAGCAGGCTGCAGGCTCCAGGCTCTGAGCTGTCAGCCAGAGTCCAGCGTGGGGCTCAAACTCATGGACTGCGAGATCATGACCTGAGCCGAAGTCTGACACGCAACCGACTGAGCCCCCCAGGTGCTCCTATCCTTCTTAATGGGAGAGATTTTGACAGCATGAAAGCAATGGTTGAATTGGGATAGATAAGTAAGCAGTACTGGAAAGGGGGAAGGAGAGGCAGCACAGTTTATGGCTAGTATTTCCTCTAAGGTATTTAATGTAAACCTGTTTAAATTTTCTACTTCTTTCTTTGTTTCTTTTTCTCTTTCTTTCTTTCTTTTCTTTTTTTTTTTTTTTTTTAAAGAATGTAATTGATCGGAAACCGTACCCTGATGATGAAAATGTAGTGGAAGTGAAGTTTGCCCGCACACCTGTCATGTCTACATATCTGGTGGCATTTGTTGTGGGTGAATATGACTTTGTAGAAACAAGGTCAAAAGATGGTGTGTGTGTCCGTGTTTACACCCCTGTTGGCAAAGCAGAGCAAGGAAAATTTGCGTTAGAGGTAAATGTACTTGAAGAGGATTGTTCCAACAGTCCATAACTCCAGGTTGGGGAATTTACATTTCTGATCAATTATTAGTACAATTATTTATAATTTAGTCTGAAATTTGTTGTGCTACGTTGATTTTATTTTTAATAGAATTTTGGAACTACCAACCTTGGTGTTATATTAACATTTTACAAGATAATGATTAAGAGAATATTACAGTGGCATTTATTTATCCAGACAGTGGGTGGGAAAATAAGTAATATATTTTTCATACCAAGTTTTAAATGGCCAACCTTAACAAAGCTTGGGGCTAAGGTAGTCTTCGGAGGTAGGGCTCCCCAGGGTTGGTTTCTAGTAACTTGAGGTGTTTTGGCTTGCAACAGGATTCCTGTGTGGATTTCTATATGAACTACAATGAAATATTTATCAGGTGGTTCTTTTGTTTATACTTTTGTAGGTTGCTGCTAAAACCCTGCCTTTTTATAAGGACTACTTCAATGTTCCTTATCCTCTACCTAAAATTGATCTCATTGCTATTGCAGACTTTGCAGCTGGTAAAGTAAATTTCATTTTATTGCTGAATTGTAATAACTTTTTTGAATTTTGTGATTTTGAGGAAGAGTTATGTACATATATCAATAAATGTTTGTATTTATTTTATGAAGGTGCCATGGAGAACTGGGGCCTTGTTACTTATAGGTATGTTAATGATACATTCCCCTGCCTTGTCTTTTCAATCACTGATTTCGTAAGAGGTTCACACCTACTTGCAGTTGAGTAGCTTCTGCCTTATGATCTGCGGTAAATTCTCCTACCTCCCCCACTTCTGTGCACATTTCAGGAATGCACATGAACACCCTCTGGTGCTACTATCTGAGATTGTAAGATTTTAAAGTGAGCATCTGGCATTAGTAACATTTTTAGATCTATTTTTGGCTGAGTTTCTCATTTCGGTGCCTTCTCTTCCTCCCAGAAGTTTCATAGTTATTTTTCCAGCTTGAAGAACCTTCTCTGCTTTAATGTTTTCTGGCCAGGTTTTTACATGTCTGTCACCACAATACAAACATGTGGGTTGTATAATTTTTAAAGCAGGATCTGTAAACAAGTTTTTGCCCTGCCTGCTTCAATGAGTTAAGTTTTGGACAGCCTGTTCAGTGTTCTTTTCCGGACTGTGGAATGCATCTTCTCCCAATTTGCCAGTCCCCTTCTTTTAATGGAAGGACTGTCTTCTGTCTCTGTCTAGCACAATAGTCTAATCCCTCAGACTAAATTCTTTAAAAATTTCAGGCAGCTGTCCTATTTACAAACTGATGATTTAACTTGTGTCACACCTTTGATCTTCTGTTGTATGAATTCTGTTGGAATAGCTTTTAATCTTCCCAGAACTTTTTCTCCTTTGTATACTCGGAGGAAATGTTTTCTTGATATCTCTAAAGCCTAACTTGACCATCTTATTTAGTGGGGGGAGCTCCCCCACTCGTGCATGCCTGCTTTTATTGCAATACTTTTATTGTTTAAAAAAAATTTTTTTTTAAACACAGGGAGACTGCATTGCTTATCGATCCAAAAAACTCCTGTTCTTCATCACGCCAGTGGGTTGCTCTGGTTGTGGGACATGAACTCGCCCATCAATGGTTTGGAAATCTTGTTACTATGGTATTTAATATTTTTAAGTGCTCAAATATATTTGTCTTCATCCTGCTGTACATTATTTTGGCTACATAGTATTTCAGGTTTGACTGGAACACTGTGCTAAAAAATAAATGAATCATAGAAAATCTTTATTTTAGAAGGTCCACTTTGAAAAGTGTTTATCAGAATCTCAGTATTAACCAGGAGCACGTGGACAGTCTTTATTCAACACAAAACACTTCCTAAACTGTTGTAGGGTTTGCCTACAAATGGGAAGTCATACTAATTTGGGTGACAGGGGTTCCTTTTAGGTACAGAGATTCCGTGCAGTGAGATGCCAGCCTGACACTAGTTTCTTGGGAATATTTATTATGTAGTCCAGTAGCTGAAAAATAACCTGATAAATAACAACATGATCTTTGATTAGCTTTTAGGGGTCCCCTGAAATGCTTTTAGGGGTCAGTTGTCTCATTGACTAAAATATTACATTGAAATTTAATAGAAACGGAAGCAAAGAAAGTAGGGAATAACTATAAAGTATATTAAAATTTCCAACTGTTCCATTGAGATTATTGTTTATTATAATGTTTACAGTGAATGATCTCTGTCCTTAAGTCTTGACCTTTCCCCTCTTACTCTAAGTAAGTGCGATCTATGGCAGCCAACTATGTTAGAGCTTGGGAGCACAGGGTTTAATGAGTGAACTAGAAGTACCTCTGCAAAGAAAGAACTGGAAATTCTGGAGCCAGCCAAATTCCCTGATAGCATTTTAGGTTGCCAAAGAGCAGAACCTGACTTGGATGTTAGTTGAGTCCATATGTCACAGGAATAAGCAAGAAAGTACGGCATTTAACAACTATTACATGTCTGAGAGAGTTTTTAAAGAAAGCCAGCCCTTGAGATTAAACCATTTCCTTTTGCTTTGGATGTTTAAAATTTTACGTAGGAGTAAAAAAAAAATTTTGACATATAATTTCATGTGGAATTAAGTGTGCTAGTAAACTACCAGCAATACATTTTAGTGGGGGGATATGTGCACATTCTCATATTGCTTTTAAACAACTTTTTACTGGATTTGAGTAACTGTTCTAGTTGTTAGATGTCAGTTGTTTCATTAAATGAAATTTAAGGGCTTAATGATAGGTTGGTGAATAGCTAGCTCTGTACCAGCTTATCTTCGTGGGAGCTACTAGTTAAATAAGTGCACAGAGCACTTAGACAAATAGCCTTTCATCACCTAGTATTGAAAACATCTGATCTTTCCAAAATTTTAATGCCTTTTTGTTTTTCACCATTGCATTAGTCCTTTAGCATCTCTATCGTGGATTCTTATATTGATTTCTTTCTTTAAGAGATTTAATCAGCTTTAATGAAACTTAGATTAAGATCTCTTTCTAAAAAGTTGGTTTTTTTTAAGTTGGTTTTATCTGTGACTCACTTATGTTCCTTGTCCACTCTACTATTAATTCTTATTAACAGGTGAGAATTTTGTATTCCATAAATACTTAAAACAACATTCATTACTGAACTACTTACTGCCATGATATTTCTGTTCATTTTACCTAATATTTATATAAGCAGTACTGCTTTTCTGTTTATCTAGAAAGTTTAACTTGTCAGTTGACAGTAACTTTTCTCAGTCATTATAAAAATCCTTTCTAGTTTTCTGTGTTTGGTCCTGGTAGCTTTCTGGTTTATCAAACTAACTTTTACCTGACAATTTAGGCTCTTGCCTACATTTATCTGTTCTCTTCCCCTTTTCCATATAAGCACCCCCCCCCCCCCCCACACACACACACCTTTCTCCTTACATCTTTTCTACCTTTGGTAATAAAAAGTGACTTAGCTATGTTTTGAAATGTCCCTCAGGCATAATGCCAATATCACCAGTAGGCCTTTCTTAGCATCTCTTTTAAACACTTTTTTTGTTGTTCAGACATGTGACTTACTAAATGTTTTTCACTGAATTTTGGTTTATTAAGTTGTAAGTTGTAGAGTATAGTGAAAGAGACATGTGACTTTTTCAAGTTAGTGGAATGAAAAGCATTTTGTTTTCCTTACACATTTCTTTCTTTTGTTTTTAGGAATGGTGGACTCATCTTTGGCTAAATGAAGGCTTTGCATCATGGATTGAATATCTGTGTGTAGACCACTGCTTCCCAGAGTATGATATCTGGACTCAGTTTGTTTCTGCTGATTACACCCGTGCCCAGGAACTTGACGCTCTAGATAACAGCCATCCTATTGAAGTGAGCCATACTTTTCAACCATCGGCCTTTCTCTCATATTTAATGAAATAAGTAATTTGTTATAGAGATACTTAGGACTCTGAAAAGAAAATTACATGAGCAGTTCACTTGTTTTTATAGCTTATATTTTTAGTCTTGAAAATCTCACAAGGTTAAGTTCTAATTATGTTTCTTTTTAAGGTAAGCAGTATAAAAATTTGATCTTTGTAGAAGTAAGTGCTATGTACCCATAAACATTCACTAAGTACATTTTTATTGCAAAGAATGGGAGAACCATGCCTATTGGGCAGTATGCATAAGGGAACATTTTGATTCCATTGTTTGTTTCAAAGAAAATTCTGAATGGTTTTTTTTTTATTGTTGTCATTATCTGTTTTTATGTATATTTTATTTCTCTTGACTTATTTCAGCTTAGTTTATATGAATTAATTTTGCTTCCAAAACACTAGACTTACAGTCTACTTTGATGTATTTAACGAGGATCCTATATAATTGTAAGCCATTACAATTAGCTGCAAGAAATAAAATGTTTCTCATCTCTCCTTTCTTCCTTCTCCAGTCTTCCAGTAAATAGATCCATAGTGATTTACCTCCCAGCAAAGCGGAGCCAGGACCCTCAGAGATGATGGGGATCATGTCATATATTCCACTTTATTTAGTATTAGTTACTACATGCTTTTTAAGGATCATCATTATGCATTTATCAGTGAGCTAAAGGCAGAAAAGTATCTTATGAGTTAGGAGGGTTTTCCTAGAAAGCTTTTTATGTAATTCAGTATTACTGGCTGTCTGCTTCCTGTTATAACCCTGAATCACACTGTCTGCCAGGTCAGTGTGGGACATCCTTCTGAAGTCGATGAGATATTTGACGCTATATCATATAGCAAAGGTGCATCTGTCATCCGAATGCTCCATGACTACATTGGGGATAAGGTAAAAAAGCAGTTTAAAAAAATCTTCCATTCTTTTATGGTGAAATCATAGAGTTTTGCATGGAAAAAAAATGTCTGCTTTCGTTTAAATTAAGTTCCTAAGTAATTTTTCTAGATTCTAGAAGAATATACTCTGATCTGGCTTATACCTCCATTTCTTTTTATACTGACTCTCGTGGTCTCTTAGATGAATGATGTGTAAATGTGTTTGGGGGATGTGTGGGAGGCTGGTATAAAACTTAAAAGCAAAAGTAGAAGGCAAAGCGTATGCATTCTTAAATAAAAGGTAGTAGACATTCGAGGGATATGTGTTTTTCAGTAAATCTGACACTCAGGTAATTTGAGTACTAATATGCAGATACACTATAAATTCCAAGGTCTTAATCTCCTGGATTTTAAAAATTGTGTTTTCTCAGGACTTTAAGAAAGGAATGAACATGTATTTAACCAAGTTCCAACAAAAGAATGCTGCCACAGGTAATCTTTAATAGCTTGAGATAGGAGTGGAGAGAAGGTGTTGGCACTCAATCCAGAGTGGGACATTTAATTTTTCCTAAATGCTTAACATAGGAAATCAAGTTGACTTATCTGGTGCCATGTGTTAAGTCACGGATCAGCATGAATCAGGACCTTCCTTCCGGTGCCCTCTGGTAGTCTGCTCTCCATGGCTCGGTGTCCTGCCACTTCCAAGAGTCTGAAGAGTTCTGTTTGGCCATTAAAATTGCTGCAAATTAACCATTTTTAGGAGTAAACTTATGGAATAACAGAGTTTCAATGAAGTAAGGTTTAAGATTTATAGTGTATAGTGGTCTGTGACTTATTGTGAATAGGAGTCCAAAGAAAGAATAAAGGTGTAAGTGTTGATTGAAAATGACAAAGAACCGGAGTTGGAGTTTTGAGTTCTTAGTGAACAAAAAGTTTAGAAAACAAGATTTATATAATGTCATTAGTATCTAATAGAATGACAAAAGTTCAGAGAGGCCCGGCCATGGGCTGTTCCTGAGGTTTATGACCTGTGAATTAAAAATACATACATCTATCTGCCTCTCTGTTGAGGACAAGATGTAATCCTGACACTCTGCCCTTCTACCCACCCCCCCCATTCCCCTGGCCATAAATGTCCATCTCAGTTTATGAAATAGAGAGGCATTCTGTTCCTTAAAGCAGAACCAAAGAAGAATGTGCTCTTGCAAATTTTCTGAGTCTTTAGCATGCATATATACATAATACATGAGGAAAGAGCTTTCTGGTTCTTAAACTGTAATGTACATGCAGTTACCCAGAGCTGAAGATGTTTCTAATTCAGTAGATCTGGGGTGAGACCGGAGGATCTGCATTTCTAACAAGCTCCCAGGTGAAGCCAGTGCCACTAGTCTTTAGGCCACACTTTGAAAAGCAACACCTACCATGTACCTTTTTTGGGTTTATGTTACTTCTAAAGACAAGTTGGCAGTTCAAAGACACTGCAGTTACCATCCATGGTTTTTATCCTGTCTGTCCTCACTACCCTTTGCTTAATTCACGCCTTCACAATCTCTACTGAATTCCACAGCTGCCTACCAACTCACTACTTCTTGCCTGCCCCACTCTCTTCAGTTCTCCCTGTCACTCTGAGGCTAGCCAGGGTTATCTTTCTAAAGCAAATACTTGATTGCATCACCTACTGATTGTTGCATCACCTACTGATTAAAAACATTTGAGATACTTCAGTCCCTTCACAGTATAATCTGTTCTTTCTAAGCCATACATAGTCCTTTTTTTTTTTTTAATTTTTATTTATTTTTGAGAGAGATACACACAGAATGTGAGCAGGGGAGGGGCAGAGAGAAAGGGAGACACAGAATCTGAAACAGGCTCCAGGCTCTGAGCTGTCAGCCCAGAGCCCGATGTGGGGATTGGACCCACGAACCATGAGATCATAACCTGAGCCAAAGTCGGACGCTTAACTGACTGAGCCAACCAGGTGCCCCAAGCCACACATAGCCTTAGCTGGTCAGCCCTTGCCTACTGTTTCAGCCTCATTGCTGGATATGCCTTCTAGATTCAGCGCATTGAACATTTGCTATTAGTAATGTTTTGTGTCTTTCTTACACTTTTTCTTTGTATATAAACCATTTATTTGTCCACCTGGAATGCCTTTTTCCCTTTGCCTAATGAACAACTCCTCTTCAAGATGCAGACTAGAAGCCAACTCTTGTGAAGCCTTTATTTTCCTTGAATTTTTTTTTAAAGTTTACGTATGTATTTTGAGAGAAAGAGAGTGCGAGCAGGAGAGAGGGACAGAGAGAGGGGGGGAGAGAGAGAGAAACTCAAACAGGTGCCTCACTGTCAGCTCACAAACCTGTGAAATCATGCCCTGAGCCCAAATCAAGAGTCGGATGCTTAACCAACTGAGCCACCCAGGTGCCCCTTCCTTGGATTTTTCCTTAAGGGCTTTTCCTCTGTTCATGCCCCCATTATAGTGTGTATCTCATTGTATTGCTGTTTTGCTTACCATGCCACCAGTGCCATTTGACCATGTGAGTTTTACTTCAGCCTTAGAGCACTGAGTGTTTTTTAAACCTCTGTTAATTGAATGGATATCATGGTTTTAAGTTTGTAGGTGATGCTTAGTGGTGATCTTGAATATGTTTGTTTGTTTCTGCTATCTTCTTGTTTGAACTTCCCTGTTTGTCTTTTCTTTACTATAATTTGTGATGGATTTTTTTTTTTTTTTAAGTAAACTCTAGGCTTAACATGGGGCTTGAACTCAAAAAACTGAGATCAAGAGTTTCACCCTCTATTGACTGAGCCAGCCAGGCACTCCTATAATTTGTGATTTTTTTTTTTTGAATAATTTGTGATATTTTTTTTTATTAAACTGGAACAATTAGGGGCATCTTAAACTATAAGACCGGTTTTTGTAATAGAGTTTATTTAATGGAGAGGCAAGTGGACATTAACTTGACCCCCCATTTATCTCCCGAACCTGAAAGAACCAAAGAATTGGTTAGCAAGATAGCGTCAGGAGCTATATAAAATTTCTGGTTTGTTTCAGAAAATAAAAATGTAAACATTTTAGATTTTCATTGTTCGTGTTTATCTTCTAGAGGACCTCTGGGAAAGTTTAGAAAATGCTAGTGGTAAACCTATCGCAGCGGTGATGAATACCTGGACCAAACAAATGGGATTTCCCCTCATTTATGTGGAAGCAGAACAGGTAACCTTATAAAAAGTCCTCCAGTTTGTCTGCTACTGTACTACATGGAATTCAGGCGGTGTTACCTCATTTGCTTTTCTGTACTTTAAGTATTCTAGGTAACATTTAAACTAGCCCTTGCATTGTTTTCTTGGTGATCTGTTATCTGTATACTAAATGGTTTGCCTCCCCCTCCGCCATCATTAAAATCATACATACTTATAGTAGAAAACAAAATGTTGTCTACTCTTACTGTCCCCAAGGAAAACACTGTAAACTTGTTGATATAACTCATTTTTTTAAGTTTATTTAAGTAATCTCTACACCCAACATGAGGCTTGAACTCATGATTTTGAGGTCACTAGTTGCATGCTCTTCCAGCTGAGCCAACCAGGTGCCCCTTGATAGAATTCTAAAATGACCAAGTCAGGTTTATCCTAGGACTGCAAAGTTGATATAACATTAAAAAAAAACGATCAGTATTTTGATTCATAAACACTACACTAACAGAATATAGGTAGGAGAACCACATAATCACTTCAATAAGATGCAGGAAAAGCATTTGTGAAAATTCAACACCCATTTATAATATCATTCTTAAACATCAGCGCTTTTTAAAATATTTTATTCATTTATTTTTAAATGCTTATTTATTTATTTTGAAAGAGAGCATGAGCGGGGGAGGGACAGGGGGAGAGAGAATCCCAAGCAAGCTCCATGCTCAGCACAGAGCCCAACCCAGGGCTCAGTCTCACAACAATGAGATCATAACCAGAGCTGATACCAAGAGTCGGACGCTCAAGCAACTGAGCCACCCCGGCACCACTTAAGATTTATTTTTTAAGTAATCTCTACACCCGGTGTGGCACACGAACCCACAATCCCAAGACCAAGAGTCACATGCTGTACCATCTGAACCAGCCTGGTGCCCCTAAAATTAGTTTTAATGTTGGTTGGGTGGCAATGGGATTTTGATCAGAATTGCACTATTATTAGTTGAACTGTTACCTGAATTCAGAGAGTTGTACCTCAGAATGAGTTGTCTTCCCAGCAGGACTGAGCTACCCAGGCGCCCCCGGTCATTGCTTCTTTACTCAAATTTTTTAGCTTTTCAATTCTGTCTTGTGTAGTCAGTTTATCCATAAAGGTCATTGGCCTAATTTGACATTGAATTTGGGTGGTACTAATCTGTTATATATTATTTAAAATGTTCTAGGACGTATTAACAAATGATAAGTAAAGCAAACGATTGCATGTTTGCAAAGTTGTTTTTTTTTTTTTTTTATATGCAGTTCGGTTGTTTTAAATTGTTTTTGCAGTTTTCCTCCACCACTTTTTTTGTGCTTCATTGCAAAGCTCATCCTTTGAAACAAAATGTGTGCCTCTTTCATGTTCAGCAGTCACTCTAAACCTTTGAATTCTGAACGTTGAGTCCATGTGCTAATGTAAGGTTGCCACTTTTTAGAAGCTTAAGAGTCTAAAGACATAACCTCCCTCTATAAAGATTAAAACAACTGGCTGCAGTATTATTTATTGTTACGTATCCTTGTGAAAATGGTAACATTTTAAGGTTCTTGTCTGTATACATAACCCTTCTGAGGGACCGTATTACACAGAACATGGCCTTTTATTTAGAGGCTTGTTATTTTGGGGCCTAAATGAGAAACAGCGCCTTTTCTCCCATTCTATACTATCGTCCTCTTCCTCACTGTTGCACTTTGTGTTCTCATGAGACATTTGGCTGTACTGGTTTCACCTTCTACTTTGTCACAGAAGTGTTGGCCCCTCCAAAAAGAAGGGGAAAAAAAAGTGTTGATACTACTATTAATAGCCTTTGTTTATGCTTTTCTTAGGTAGAAGATGACAGATTATTGAAGTTGTCCCAAAGAAAGTTCTGTGCCAGTGGACCATATGCTGGTAAGCAAATGGCTGTAAGTGGGAGCTGATGAGTGAATGTGGACACCATTCCAGTAGTGTTCCAATTAACAGGAAGTAATTACATATTTTTTAATATTTTTGATAGGATTAAATAAAAACAAGGAAATGGTAATAAAATACAAATGAAATCTAGGAAATCAAAAGAGGAGATTCATGAGGTATTTGTGGTGTTTTGATATTCTTCAGTTTTTTGAAATTCCATGTCTCTGTATGTTATTGGAGGCTACAAGGAATGAAGAAGGATAGGAACACCCAAGAAGCGATGTCTCTATCCTTACGAGAATCTTGCTGCACATTTGTGTGGGTGGCTAATTCTTTGTCTTCTTTTTAATTCTTGGGCATACTAAGTAAGTAAACAAGTAAATAAAGCACAAAGATTGTTTAGAGTTATTATGTACCATTTACTGTGCTAAAGCAATATCACTGACCCTTATTTTATAGTTTCAGCAACCTACTGGGTAGATAGTATTATTTCCTTTCTACAAATGAAGGAGCTGAGGCATAGCTGGGTTAGTTAAATTGCCCAAGGTCGCCTATCTGATGAGTTAAAGAGTAGGAATTCAAACGAAATAGTTGGATTCCATGAGTTTATACCACTCGACTCTGGCTTTTCAAATTATTTCTACAGGTCATTAGATTCTTTTGCTCAGGAAATTAAAAGTACCTTTCTCACCTCCTTTAAAACAATTCTTAGTAGGGGGAGGTGTATATCAGAATCACCTATCCTTTTCATGTTCCAAAATAGGGTACACTCTACTAAGGGTTAAGAGGTATATACCCTTTCATCCTTAACCTTCCTTAGCATTTGGAATTACTTTTTAAGTAAAGCTGTCTGACAAGTCAGATGACAAGTTTATTATCCAAAATAAATCCCTAAGTGTCACAGTTTCTGTTTTCTGCCTCATACCCACAATCTGCATCGTAGGACTGAGAGGTTTTGCAGTTTTTTTCAAATACTCTGTGACTGACCAGTATAGGCAGTATTAAAACCTGAAATGTCCCATTGTTAGGAAATTTTGATTTGTGGTTTAACCTGATAGCACAAAACTAGATAACTTAGTAAAATAGTTAAATGTAACTATAGTTAAATGTACTGGGCAATGGGCAAAGGACTCTCTTCTGTTTGGCATCTTAATTCAAAGTCTGTTTTTCTGTCGGATCCCTAAAAGACAGGTATGTTATCTGCCTTGCAAAAGCTTTGAGTTTTAGCTATGACTTTTTAGTGATGGAATCCGTCAGCTCTAGGGTGTATCCTATCTACGAAATTAAGTCAACCCTTCACTACGTATACTTGTTAAGGACTGCACCTTAGAATGTTTTTAAATGCTATATGAAGACTTTGACCTACTTGAAATTTCTTTTACAGTAAAATCATTACTCTCTGTTACTCTATAAAGGGAAATGATTAAATTAAAATCACTGTGTTTTAATTTAACACGAATTTTAATTAAGAAACACTAAATAAACTGTTCTCCTTTTCTCTTTTAGGCTATTATGATTTTTGTTAAATTCTCTCTTCCTTTATACTAGTATTATTCAGGTTATGGAAGAGTTTATGTACCATTGAAAATGAGCTATTGGCTTAACAGACTCAAGCTCATATGTAAGATACCAGTCCTCTCTCTCGACCTTACCTTCTATTTCTTCCAATGACAAATTATTTTTCAAGTTTTCTATTTGTTCTTCTGTTGCTTAAGGAGAAGACTGTCCCCAGTGGATGGTTCCTATCACAATCTCTACTAGTGAAGACCCCAACCATGCCAAACTGAAAATTCTGATGGACAAGCCAGAGATGAATGTGGTTTTGAAAAATGTCAAACCAGACCAGTGGGTAAAGGTGAGTCCATAAATGGCCTAGCCATTTTTATCTTACCTAAATGAATTGATTGCTCTCACTTCCTTTATACATTTTATGGCCGGCTGTAAATTCTGCTTTAGTTTAGATGAGGACTTGCAAAGACAAAAACATTACTAAACTGTCCTGTGTGAAATTTAGAGCCAATTTTCAAATAATATTATCTGATATCTTCCCTTAGGTAAGGGAGTGGTACATAAGCAGATAAAAAGGGATATGATCAAAGGGGAAAAAATAGTAGATTATGTGTAAAGTCACATTAATCAAAAGGTCTGTGGTCTTGCAACTTCCAGCTGCGCTGTCATTGTAACAAGATGTTAACCTCCACCATGTGCTATCATTGTGTATGCACAGCTATCGTCAAGCGAGGCCACACATATAATAATGAGTTTGTGTCACTGAAATGTGAAATTCCTGTAACTGGTGTTTTAAAATCATTTCATAAAAATAACAGTTGGTAACGATTATTTCCCATTATTCTGTACTCTGTACCATTCATAATAAAAGTATCTACTCTAAACTTTTCTCCCAATTATAGGTTCCTAATAGGAATTATACATTATCTCAGACTTTTGTATATGTATATGTGTATATGTGTGTGTGTGTGTGTGTGTGTGTGTGTATACACATACACATATATGATTTTTTAAAAATATACTCAGTGGAGGGGTGCCTGGCTGGCTCCTGTCAGAAGAGTGTGAGACTCTTGATCTCAGGGTTGAGTTCACACCCCACATTGGGTATAGAGATTACATAAAAATAAAATCTTTAAGAGGTGCCTGGGTGGCTCAGTTGGTTAAGCGGCCGACTTCGGCTTAGGTCATGATCCTCATGGTTTGTGAGTTTGAGCCCCACATTGAGCTCTGTGCTGACAGCTTGGAGCCTGGAGCCTGCTCTGGATTCTATGTCTCCTTCTCTCTCTGACCCTCACCCGCTCACACTCTGTCTCTCTCTCTCTCTCTCTCAAAAAATAAACATTTAAAAAATTATAAAAATAAATAAATAAATAAATAAATAAATAATTATAAATTATAAATAAATAAAAACTTTAAAAATACAGATAGATACACACATATACATACTCAGTAGAATACTATGTTACCATTTGAAATTACATCTGGAAGATTATGTAGCTATATGAAATTTTTCTTATAAATGAGAAAAACCTATGTATGCTGTGATTGTAACTGGGTAAATAAAGGTATTATTCCTGCCGTAAAAGGTAGAGGGAATCAATAAAATAGCAGTTGTATTATCGTGAGGTGATTTAAAAAAAATATTTACGGGGGTACCTGGGTGACTCAGTCAGTTAAGCATCCAACTCTTGGTTTCAGCTTAGGTCATGATCTCATGGTTCTGGGATCGGTCCTGCATCAGGCTCTGTGCTGAGTGTGGAGGCTGCTTGGGATGCTCTCTCCACCTCTCTCTCTGCCCCTCCTTCCCTGCTCGTGCTCACTCTCTCTTTCTTTCAAAATAAATAAATAAAATTAAAAAAATACTTACATGTAAGTAGTAAAATTAAAAACATAAATAGTGAAGTACTTGTATCTTCTACCTTATTTTACCTTTAAGGTATTTGGTATATAAATATTATCAAAAATATTTTTGCCTGTCGGTCATTAGCCTACAGAGAATGATAACAGTCCGTGATTATCTCACTCCACAAATTATATGAAATTACCTTTAAAGTCCATGCAATTCTTTAAAATCTAGGACCTGAGCATTGCTATTCTGGTGAGACTATGGGCTGAGTAGATGAGTCTTTTTGTAAAGGTTTAGTCTTCCTTAGAGATTCCACTGTCCCCGTGTTCTTACATATAGTAAATATTTTCTGTGAACTTAAAACCATCCACCGAGAGTAGACATAGAAACCGATCCGCATGATTCCCTCCCTCCCAGCCATATCCTTCCTACCGTCTCTCACTCTGTCCCCCACTATGTCAAGTTTCTGTTTTCTTTCACCTGTTTTCATCTTTGACAACCGCTTTCTATCTTTATGTGTTGTTTCATTTTAATCCCTGCCTGCATATGTGATCTTTGTTGTTTTCACTCAGATATACTGAAAGCAAAACTCCTTTCACACCTGCAAAAGACTGCTTTAAAAAACAAATGGATGCGGCGCCTGGGTGGCTCAGTCAGTTAAGTCTCTGACTTCGGCTCAGGTCATGATCTCATGGTTCATGAGTTCAAGCCCTGCGTTGGGCTCTGTGCTGACAGCTCAGAGCCTGGAGTCTGCTTCAGATTCTGTGTCTCCCTCCCTCCCTCCCTCCCTCTCTCTCTCTCTCTCTCTCTCTCTCTCTCTCTGCCCCTCCCCTGCTTGTGCTCTCGCTCTCAAATAAACAAACACTAAAATTAAAAATTAACAAACAAAACAAATGGAACTGTTTAATTAATAATGTCCATTGGGTATCTTTTCAGTTAAACCTGGGAACAGTTGGGTTTTATCGGACCCAGTACAGCTCAGCCATGCTGGAAAGTTTATTACCTGGCATTCGTGACCTTTCTCTGCCCCCTGTGGATCGACTTGGATTACAGAATGACCTCTTCTCCTTGGTGAGCCTCTCTCAAGTAGTATAATGGATTTTGTTGATTAAAGGATTTTGTTTTTCCTGGAGTATCTGACTGAAACATAATTAGAAGAATATGGCTCTTCCTGAAGGTTGAACACCTTTTGGGACTAGAACAAATGACTAATTATTAATTAACATGACAAGATTGAACCTATATAATTTACCGGAAACAAATCCCATGTCACTACTTCTAAGCCAGCTTTTTGCAATGAAAACTATCCTTCGTAAGCAAAAATTCTTTTCGGTAGAAATAGGTATGGGCCTTGAAGAAATTTCCCTACTGATGTTTGTTTTTGTTTTTTTTTAATAATTCAGAATAATTTATATTTTTCTAAAATAGTGATTGTACTTGGCTGGAAACATCTAGAATTTTTTAACATTCCATTACTACTCAAATAATAGTCCATTAGCTTTAGAATTATATTTATGTGGGGCATCTGGGCGGCTGCGTCAGGAGAGCATCCGACTCTTGATCTCAGGGTCATGAGTTCAAGCCCCACATTGGGCGTGGAGCCTACTTAAAAAAAAAAAAAGGATTATATTTCTTTTGGCTTTGTTCCAGAAAGGATTTAAATCAGCAATTAGTAGTATTATCTTTATGACTCCAACAAAGGTTAGATAATTTCCAGATGTCTGTGATAAAATTGTCAGATTCCTCCTAGTGTTCCTTTAAAGTGGACTTGAGTTTTCCCTCCCTTCTGCAGTAACTGGTTTTGGATTCCTCCTTTGTATAAACACAGATTAGCACTGATGCACAAAACCTCACATCTGCTGATCTCATTGCTGAGAGAGACCTGTCCCAGGAGAGTGGTGTATTTGTGCAGTTGGCTGCTGTAACACGAGTTCCTTTTCCTAGCTCTGTTAGTTAATTCTGAAAGGCTTCCAGTTTGCCTTCTTTCACAAATGAGTAAAGGACAGACTGAAGTTGACACAGTTGGCAGGTCCAGCTTTGAAAGAGCCTCTGTCAAAAACCAAAGCCCTAACTATTGTTGTGTCTTTTCTGAAAGTATGCGAATTTTAAAAATAAAAACAAAGCCAAGGCCCCAGACACTGGATAGAAATAGGAAGTTAATGGCTCTCCTTCTTGCTTTCTTTTTTTTCCCTTGCTTTCTTTCTCATTGAAGTATAGTTGATGCACAGTGTTACATCAGTTTCAGGTGGACAGCATAGTGATTCCACGAGTCTGCGCCTCATGCTGTGCTCACCACAAGTGTAGCTATACCACCTGTCACCAAACAAAGTGTACCTAAGTTGCTCTCTCGCAAATAACAAAAAGTAAATAAGGGATATTGTCATGATAGGAGTTTTATTCTCATAATCCCCTGTGTTCTTTCAACCAAAGAAATGACTGACTAGCAGTAGATAATGCTGAAAATGCATGCTTGTGTTTCTTTGTTTTGTTTTTGTCTGAAGACTAGATTAATTTATGTTTTTTCCTATCCCAGGCTCGAGCTGGAATCATTAGCACTGTAGAGGTTCTAAAAGTCATGGAGGCTTTTGTGAATGAGCCCAATTATACTGTATGGAGCGACCTGAGCTGTAACCTGGGGATTCTCTCAACTCTCTTGTCCCACACAGACTTCTATGAGGAAATCCAGGAGTTTGTGAAAGATGTCTTTTCACCCATAGGGGAGAGACTAGGCTGGGACCCCAAACCTGGAGAAGGTAATGGATGCACGGAATGGGGAAAGAATTGATGAGAAATTGGACCCTTTTTACTCAGCTGTGGTTAACAGTATCAGTAGCATCTTGGTATCTGTTGGGTGTTACTATGTTTTCAGCTCCCCAGAAATTAAATCTTAGGTCTTTTAAGTTTATTGGTGAAGTTACATGGGTCACCAACATAAAAACAGTGGTGGTTATGTGTATTCACTGTTAAATACGATTCGTAAACAACACAAATGGTGGAAATAGAAGCCTTTTACAGCGTTCCAAAGGCCTGTCTATAGTCAAGAAAAGCTAAAGGGAATTTTAGATGATTTTATTTATTATTGCCATAAATATCAGGCACCTTATATGTACAACTTGGAAAGATACCAAGAGACAGTAAGTGAATTAAGGAAGTTACTGACATTCTACATGTGTTCTCTCCTCTGATTATTTCCATAATTGTGTATTTACTCTTTTGCCATCATCATATGTTGGGAATGGTGATCTTGTGGTTTTATATATAATTGTTTTCTACCATCTGCAAATAACTAAAGGTGGTATTTCATCCTGGCAGTCTTGATCTCAGAGTCTTTTGCAATAAGAACAACAGTAACAATTACCTAGAGCTCTATGTTTTCCCCTTGTGGATTCAACAAATATTTATGCGCCTAGTAAATACCAGGTACTATTCTGGGAGCTGGTGGTACAGCAGTGAAGAAAGCTTTGCCCTGTGTGGCTTACATTCTAGTGGGAGACACAGCAAACCATTGAACATACGATAATTTAGGTGGCAACGAGTATCATGAAGAAAAATAAAGTTAGGTAAGGTAGATAAAGAGTGGTAGGCCGGTACACCCTAGCCTGGTCAGGGCAACAGTCACTCATGATGAAGTGGTAATATGAGCATAAGCAGAGACCTGAGAGAGAGCTGTGAGGCCATCTAGAGGGAAATGGTCCAGACAGGGAACAGCCAGTGCAGGAGATCTGCAGCAGGAGCAAGCTTGGGTTGTTCAAGGAATAACAAGGAGGCTAGTTACATCAGGACGGAGTAAGTGAGGGGGACAGAGTGGGAAGCAGTGCAGCTCCTATAGGACCTGTGGGACCTAGTACATTTTCGACTTTCACAGTTAGTGATATGAGAAAGTGACTTGAGAGCTGATGCACAAGAACGTGACTTGACGTACTCAGCTGTGTGGGACCCAGACGAGTGGAGAGGCAAGAGACAGGAGCAGGGAGACATTACAGAGCTGTTCGAGTAATCCAGTTGAGGTGCCGGGTGCAGCTTACACTTGCAGGTGGCAGATTCTGGGCATGTTTTGAAGGTAGAACTGAACCTATTTGGTGGTGGACTGACTGCAAGGGGAAGAAGGAGGAGCCACCACATTCTGGCCTGAGGACCGGAGGGGTGACCTTGCCAGATACAGAACAGGACGGCCGTAGAAGCGGGCTGGGAACAGAGGGAATCAGGAGCTGGGTGTTGGACATGTCAACTTAGACATCCAGGTGGAGAGTCAAGCCTAGAGGTCCAGGCTGAATAAATGCATTTAGTGTGTAGATGGTGTTTACAGCCACGAGACTGGACAAGATCACGCAGGGCCCGAGTGTAGGCGGACAAAAGAGGTCTGAGGGCTAGGTCCGAGGCCAGGCCAAGATTTGGAGATTGAGTGGAAGACGAGGAGTCCGCAAGGGAGACTGACTGGCCACTGAGGTGGGAGAGTCAGGAGGGAGGAGATGTTCCAGACGTCTTAAGAAGCAGTGCAGAAGGAGCGTTACCCACTGTGACAGCTGGTGCTCTGAGTCCGGCGAGATGAAGGGGGTTGGTGAGGCCATCAGCAAGTTCTGCGGAGCGGCGGAGAGCACTAGTGGTTCTCCAGAGCGGGAGGGGGTAAGCAAAGGGCGCATTCAGACTTTTTTTTTTTTTTTTTTAATTTTTAATGTTTATTTTTGGGAGAGAGAGACAGAGCATGAGCAAGGGAGGGGCAGAGAGAGAGAGGGAGACACGGAATCGGAAGCAGGCTCCAGGCTCCAAGCTGTCAGCACAGAACCTGATGTGGGGCTTGAACTCAAGAACCGTGAGATATGACCCGAGCCGAAGTCAGACGCTTAACCGACTGAGCCACCCCCCAGGCGCCCCACATTCAGACAACTTCTTCAAGGAGTTTTTGCTGAAAAGGCAATCAGAGAAAAGGGGATAGTCTGGGGAGAGATGTAGAGTCAGTGGAGGCATATATATATTTTTTTTAATAAAGAGGGAGATTTTGTAACATGTTTTTGTGCTGATGACAATGCTAGATTAGTAATAGAAAAATCCGTGATGTGAAAGAGACGGGGGGTAATTCCTGGAGCGATGGCCAAGCGATGGAGAGGAGTCGGGACCCAACGGAGGAGTGTGCTTTAGACAGGACACAGAGCCCTAGAAACAAAATATAAGAGGGTATGTGGGGTCAGATCCACGCAGACTGGTGGATGTTGTACTTCTCTTTCACGGCTCAAAAACACCTTAATGAAATAGGGAGAATATCTTTAGTTTTCTAGTTTTATAGATAGAAGAATCAAACAGCAAAATAATAAAACATTCCCTTGTGTCACACAGCAAGTGAGTACCAGAGTCAGAATTACAAATTGGTTCTTCTAAGAACCTCACTAGTGTCCTGTTGTGTTATGTATTGATCTCCTATTGTTTTCTTGAACTTATTTTTTTACTGAGTTATAATTTAAATGTAGCAAAATGCACAATTAAATGTTACATTTCTTGGGGTGCCTGGGTAGCTCAGTCAGTTAGGCATCCAGCTTCAGCTCAGGTCATGATCTCGCAGTTCATGGGTTCGAGCACCGGGTCGGGATCTGTCCTGACAGCTCAGAGCCTGGAGCCTGCTCCGGATATTCTCTCTCTCAATCTCTCTCTCTCTGTCTCTCTCTGTCTCTCTCTCTCTCTCTCTCTCTTTCTCTCTGCCCCTCCCCTGCTCTCTCCAAAATAAATAAACATTTTAAAAAAATTTAATGTTACAATTCAGCGACTTTTGACAAAAAATACACTGAAGAGGTTGCCTCGGGGCCTCTTCCCAGTCAGTCCTTGCCAGGCCGGTTCCCCTATCCATCCCCTCCAGGCAAACACTATTCTGCCTTTTGTCACCCTAGATTAATATTATCTCTTCTAGAATTTTATGTAAATGGAATCCTAATATATTTTTTCCTGCTCTTACATCTGGCTTCTTTCAATATAATGTGCTAGAGATACATCCAGGGTGTTCATTCCATTTTATTGCTTAGTGGTATTTCATTGTATGTACCACGACTTAGCTGTTTTGGTACTGCAATCCATCATTGCTAGTGTTAACTTTTTTTTTTTTAAGACATAGTATATAATAAAATGTACCTTTTAAAGTATACAACTCAGTCTTTTTTAGTTTGTTCACAGCATTGCACAACCGTCACCACCATCTAATTCCAGAATAACTTCTTTAGCCTCAAAAGAAACTCCATACCCATGGCAGTTACTCCCCATCCCCTGGCAATCCCGATCCCTGGTAACCACTAATCTGCTGTCTGTCTCTATGGATTTACCTACTCTGGGCACTTCCTGTAAATGGAATCATACCCCGTGTAGCCTTTTGTGTCTCACTTTTTTCACTTAGCACAATGTTGCTAAGGTTCATCCGTGTTGTCTGTCAGTACCGCATCTTCTTATAGCTGAATAGTATTCTACTGTATGGATATACCACATTTTGTGTTTTCATCACTTGGTGGGTGTTTGGATGGTTTCTACTTTTTGACAGTTGTGAATACTGCTGTGAACATGTGTGTACAAATTTTTGTGGACCTAACACTTCCATTTCTATTGCGTGGACTTGCCGGATCATACGGTAACCCCATGTTTAACCTCTCTAGGAATTGCCAGACTGTTTTTCCAAGTGGTCACAACATTTTACATTCCCGCCAGCGTATGAGGGTTCTAACTTCTCCACGTCCTTGACAGTGCTTGTCATTGTCCATCTTTTTTAGTCATCCTGGTGGGTGTGAAGCAGATCTCACAGTGGTTTTGATTTGCATTTCCCTAATGACCAAAGTTGAACATCTCTTTATGTGCTTATTGGAGTAAACCAATCCATCAGATTTCGATTTTTAAAAATCTAAGATTTCAGTTGGTTATACACAGCGTACTAGTTCAGTATGTGGCCTTTTTTCTGAATCTTGGGTCAAAACTGCATGATCTAAGCCTGTTTCTTTCACATATAATCCTTAGCAATGTAATTACCTAGATGGAGTGAACATTTAGTAAATTCAGATCATTGGCATTTGTAGACAAAGTCAGCAAATTTATTTGTCTAGTGTGTTTATTAGCACTTCATTTCACTCTTATGATTTGAACAATATAAATCAGTGTTCTCTCAAGTACTAGGGTAATTGATTGTGTTTGTTCAAGATGGTAGACGTGGTATAAGATATCCAAGTAGCATATTTGTGAAAATGGGATTTTTAAGCAGTGTTGTGTCTCTTTTACTTCTTAATCAGGTCATCTAGATGCACTCCTGAGGGGCTTGGTTCTGGGCAAACTGGGAAAAGCAGGACATAAGGCAACATTAGAAGAAGCCCGCCGTCGGTTTAAGGACCACGTGGAAGGGAAACAGATTCTCTCCGCTGATCTGAGGAGTCCTGTAGGTTTTCATGATAAATAACCTTGATTTCTAGATGACTGCATCATTCTGCACACAGTGTGGGATGTATTTAATGGTAACCAGAAATGACCTAGACACTGACCCACACATTGTGTCTGACTCTGTGTTAATATGTGCCATTTAGGTGGTTGTAGCCAGCTTCTCGTTTGTTTAAAGTTTCTCAGACTACACTGTGCTTAAAGCTGATTATCTGTGCACATTCCCCTGAGAGAGCCGGTGTGCATGCCGTCTCCCTGCCTGGTTTTCAGTATGGGCTCCGAAGCTCTTTGTCGCACAGTTTGTACGTAACATCCACACACAGCTGTTTACAATCGTGTTGACTTGCTTTCTGTCTTAACATTAGAATATTTGGAACAAGATGCATTTAATCAGATGCCTTCTTTGTTGTTCCTGTATTCTCTTGTAGGTTTATCTGACCGTTTTGAAGCATGGTGATGGCACTACCTTAGACATTATGCTAAAGGTGAGTACATTTGGAAAGGGTTTCCATCTTCTGCTGTAAAACTTGGATTAACACAGTACAAGCTTTAAGTGGTTAAAAAAAAAAAAAAGTCCTGGCGAAAGAAATATATGTAGATATGCATGTTGCAGACAGGCAAATATTAAGAAACTGTGGGAGAGAGATATCATGTCTGTTCACGTGTACTACCAATACAATGCCAGAAGTCATCTAGTGTTCTCACTTTTTTTAATTTGTAAGTTTATGTATCTTAAACCAAAAAATGAAGTACTCATTTTGATTAACAAGTCAAGCTCTTAAAATTTTCCCTTCTGTGTAAACTTACGTAGGATCCTTCCCATTTTGAAGAAAAGGTTTGTGTCCGTGCTTAGGGGAGAGAGAATCAGGTGTCTCCAGGGTTTGAGTTATGTCAGTGCCTCTTATGAATGGACAGGAAATTAATTGACTTGCCTGCGTAGCCTCTGTAGTTTCCCCAGAGGGCTGGCATGTAATTAAACTCTAATACAGATACTGTACTTCTCCAGTCCCTGTCCATGCGGTTGTCAGTCTAAGAAATCACTTGACAGGTAGGGGGAGCTGAATGTACTTATTACCATCGAATAAAATGTGCAAAATGTGTCTAAATACCCAAATACGTGTCAAATCTGCAAAGCCCATTCGTTTAAAGACCTGCTCTTAGTGGGAACAAACAGAACAGGAATAGGATATGCTTTGCTACTTCCATCTTTAATGGATTAAGAACACTTTTCTGACCTCAAGTAGATCAAAATTGCAAATCCAATTTCTAGTATTTCATTTTAAACAAATCCTGTTTTTTTTTTTTAATGTTTATTTATTTTTGAGAGAGAGAGAGAGAGAGAGAGAGAGCATGAGCATGAGCAGGGGAGGGGCAGAGAGAGAGGGAGACACAGAATCCGAAGCAGGCTCCAGGCTCTGAGCTGTCAACACAGAGCCCGACACAGGGCTCGAACTCAGGGACCGCGAGATCATGACCTGAGCAGAAGTCAGATGCTCAACCGGCTGAGCCACCCAGGCGCCCCCAAATCATATTTTTTAAATGATTAAAATATTTTGAAAAATGTAAACTTTAAGAAACTCAAAATGTGCCACTTTACTGATCTTGGACAAGAGTTTCCTTTCTAATAATATCAAAATTATACTTTGGGTTTAACTTAACTTTCAATTAAATGACATTGAGGTCCCTTCTCAGTCTTAATATTCTGTGAAACTGTGCACTATGAATCCTGTATTTCTTTGCATATGAAATCAGATATTTGTGGGTTTTGTTTTTTCCATAGCGGTATGGAACAAAATAGGGGTTCTGAAATTCTCATGACAGATACCTTGACATTTTCATGTCATAGCACACTTTTAAGAATTTGTTCTAGTATGTATATTTAATAAGTGTTGGCATCTATTTAATGTAAGGGAGCTGACTATAATTCTGATTTACTATCAAAAGAGCTCTAATGAAGGCCAAATTAGGTTTCTTCAAGAAACCAGTTGATGGGAGATGAGGAGGATTGTCTTCTGTTGGTAATTTAGGAGTAATGAGGCCTGCTAAAAAAGAACTTTGATTTCAAAGTATATTTGGAATGTGGTGTTATGGTGCCATCTAGTGGACTAGTTTAACAGGTTCTCCTTGGGGAAAACCATGCTTCTTGAAAGCCAGAGTTCAGACCTTGAGTCCTGGAGCTGAAAAGGACCTTAGAAATTATCTCTCCACCCCACTCATTTTACACAAGAGGAAACTGAGATCCAAAGAGGTTAAGGACTTAGTCAAGGTCACACAGCTAGTTAGACACAAAACCAGGACTAGAACCCAGGTCTCCTGACTTCTATCTATTTGACTACACTGCTGCTCAAAAGAAATCAAAGGAAAAGAAGAGGAAATGGGGGCCTGTGATGGGGTGTGCAGACACTGGTCAGTGTAAAATCTTCAGTGAGAAAAAAAGTCAACAGAGTCTATCGATTAAGTTGTCTTGGAGAGATATCTCATATATGCTTGTAATATTTGTATGCATAATGTTTTGTTTCTGATGGTGGAAAAAAGACTCGGTATAATCACTGTGGAAGATTTAGAGACTAGAAAAATATAAAGAAAATACTTACCTGTAATTTGAAATGTTTAAAAAGGTCACAAAATAGGTATAAGATGATCTGATGTCCAATTTGGTAATGTACATATTGTAATAATTTAATTTTTTCTTTATGCTTCTCATTTTCCTAATTTCCTGCATTCAGCATGCGATGCTTTTGCAGTTGACAAATTTGATGATACAGAATCCCACTGATCAGAGACCATCGTTAATATTAACATGCATTTTTGACTATTAGAAATTAAATTGATGACCTTCAATGGTATTGGCAATCATCAGTTTGTTCATTTAACACAGAACATTAGTCAGACATCATACCCCTCAGATCTTGAATTTAAACTGCTCAGAACTGATGACCAGCCATCAACGTTTATTTATTTTTGGGACAGAGAGAGACAGAGCATGAACGGGGGAGGGGCAGAGAGAGAGGGAGACACAGAATCGGAAACAGGCTCCAGGCTCTGAGCCATCAGCCCAGAGCCTGACGCGGGGCTTGAACTCACGGACCGCGAGATCATGACCTGGCTGAAGTCGGACGCTTAACCGACTGCGCCACCCAGGCGCCCCGCATCCTGTTAAGTTTTATCTTCTGTTAATTTTATGCCCTGCGCACCTAGCCAATGAGAATATAGAACAGAAGTTTCACCTTACTGGGGGAGAAGCTCATATAAGCATGTGTCTGACTTCCAGGGGACAGTTAACTATCTTGATCTGTATTTTTTCACTATAGCTTCACAAACAAGCAGATATGCAGGAAGAGAAAAACCGAATTGAAAGGGTCCTTGGGGCTACTCTTTCACCTGAATTGATTCAAAAAGTCCTCACGTTTGCACTTTCAGTAAGTTACAATGAAAACTGCTTTTAGAGGGAATTGTAACCTATCAATCTGTGGCAGCTGTCTTTGATTCAGTATTCTCTTGATCTGCTTTAACCCTTTCCTCTTAGTCTGGGGGAAATGGAATGGGCTTTTGTTACTGACCTCTATCTATATCTGCCTCTAGCGGTGGGAATCGGGATAGTTGGAAGCAGGAATAAACTGGCAAGCCTACTTATCTTACCCCTGTGCCTACTTTCTGTCTCTTCCTTTCTTTATCCTGTAGGAACCCAAGCAAACATCTATTCAGCAGCCTGTTTTTACCTGTCTCAGTGCCTCATTCTCAATTTGGCTGATCTTTAGGAAGCTTTCTGGTGCCAGTTATTCCTAAAATAAGGAATGAGGGTCTTCAGTGTGATTACTTGGGTACCTCAACAGCATTTGCCCTTTCTGGCACCAGAAGATGTTTTGAGTACAGTAGACTTTTCTTTCTCTTTCTGTTTCTAGGAAGAGGTACGCCCACAGGACACTGTGTCAGTAATTGGTGGAGTGGCAGGAGGCAGCAAGCATGGAAGGAAGGCTGCTTGGAAGTTTATAAAAGACAACTGGGAAGAACTTTATAATCGATACCAGGGAGGATTCTTAATATCCAGACTAATAAAGGTGTGTGAAGATTTTTATTTTGAGTAGCTTGCTTATCATAGATGTTATTTAGAGACATCCCTGATTCACTAGGCCTATAGTCTTTGCTCTTTAAGGGTTTCTTCCAAAAAAAAAAAAAAAGTTCCTTAAATAATTATTAGCTTTATTAAAGGGCTTCTCCATCACCCATCCTGCACCTTCTAGAATATTCTGAAGTTGGGAGACTATAAAATGATTTGGTTTTTAGGTAAATGGAAGTTTGTTCCTAGCGTCTTTTAGTTACATTTACTATTTAAACCATTGTTTTTTTCAGCTATCAGTTGAGGGATTTGCAGTTGATAAAATGGCTGGAGAGGTTAAGGTAAGCAAAGTATTGTTTCCTTTTTACTTTTCAATCTAGTAAGTAAAAACACTAATGAGCCAAATTGTAATGATACGATGTTGGGGTAATGCTGTATTTATCCTTGTTTTTGCTTGGAAAAAGACAGCTTGGGTTGTGTCTTTAATGCTTGAAGAATTTAGGGTTGGAATCATCTTTGAGCGCTTTGCAATATGGTTGAAGGAACGTGGTGGAACTTGGAATCAGTCGATCTGAGTATAAATCTGTGCTCTGCCCTATGTTAGCTATGGGACTTCAAGTAAGTTTTTTGATCCCTGTGAGCCTGTCTCCTCATCCATAAAATGGAATGATGATAAGATTGTTATTTAAGTAATGTAGTGGGACTGGAACAGAGTAGTAGGTCCTCGATAATGGTTCTTTTTTTCCTTTCTAAAAACAACCTTCATAGGTCTGTCCTGTGCACGAGGAGACAAGATGGCTATGCAAGGAATCTCCTCTTAGCCCTTACAAAGGAGAATCTTCAGTTTAGTGGTAAAGTTCAGCATTTGAGGAACAGATATACACTGATGAGGGAAATCTTAATGTTAAGCCTTCCATTGCATTTAATTGTGAAGTTATTTTTGAAGAGTCACTTTTACCTTTACTTCTTGAAGGCAGTGGGGTTACGAGGTGTGAATGTGGAGGCTCTGAGGGCTGTTGTGTTGTTTCACTCACTCTGTGAGCCATTGTTTGGAATTTTAAGATTTCAGGTCTTGAGAAAGTGGAAGACTTGATCTCTGCCTTCATTTAACTTACATTGTATGCTGTGGAAACAGTTACTTTACCGTAAAGGATAGAAGTACTCTGAAGGAGAAGTACATATACCTGGTTTGGAGGGGAAAGGCAGTGAGTGGCCAAGCTGAGGCCGGGAAGATAGGTAGAGGCCAGACTGGAGGGCCTTGGAGGCCATATGAATTTTCCTAAGAGTGCAAAGCCCTTGAACTGCTTGTCAACAGGGGAGTGAGTTGATGTGATTTGTACCATAAAAATTTCAGTCTGGCTGCAGTATGGGAAAGAGAAACATTTTGGGATGCTGACTGCAAGCAAGAAGGATAGAGTAGCTTTCAGGAGATGGAGTTATGAAATTCAAGGGCTTGGGTTTGTTAATCTTTAATTCAACAAATATTTACTGATTGGCTTCTCTGTGTTGTGAATGTACCTGGCAGAGGAAGAAGGAAGAATCAACGATAATTCCTGGGTTTCTTATATGTAAACAGTGGTGCTATTTGTGGAGATGGAATGAGGGGCAGTTCTGTATTGTACTTGGGCCCTAAGAACCCAGCCCCAAGAACGAGCCTCAGCGAAGGCGCCATTGTTGTTTGTGTGAACGAGGTTATTGATTTCCAAAAGTTCTAGACTTAATCTGATGAATTAGTCATTCTTTTCCTTTACACCTGTGACAACTGGTTCAAAGTAAAGACCCCTATCCTTTCGTTGGTTGGTATTTAAGAGTTGCTCTGTTTACTATGAATCTTGGTATACTTCATTGGAACGTAATTTATTGAATCTTTAATCAATAAGCTTTGGATAAATTATAATAAACTCAGAAATGGTTTTGTTTTATGAAAGATGTGAGTCTGTGGAGCAGCAATTTAATCTTTGTGGTCTTATCGCCTTCACAAATTAATCTTTGTTTGAAGCAGCCAGAATGTGTGTGTCTTTAAGGACTCTGCCTGCCAAGTATTGTGCTAACAGTTTTTATGGATTTTCTCTTAAACTTCTGGACTAAATAGTTTCTTACCAATGAGAAAACAGAATGATTAATGTACTCAAACTCACAGGCTAATACATGACCGAACCGAGATTTGAGTCCCAACCTAATTCCAGAGCCCTACATTAACCACTAGATAATGAACCTAAAAGACAGGCCAGAGGTTCTGCCTCTTTGTTACCTTTTGATTAGATTTGAAGCATGTATTTGGAGAAGAATTCCTGTATGCAGGTCTAAGGGGCTGCTTTGTTTTCTTTTAGCCTGGGAGTAGCAGTGGTAAATTTTCATGATTAAAGCTTTTGAATCCTTTACAGAACAGTGGGTAACTTCTCATGACCTGTGATACTTCTAACTTCTTACCATTGCTAGTGCTGATCCTACCTTCTGGGTTGTGTTATACCAGGCTTTCTTCGAGAGCCACCCAGCTCCTTCAGCTGAGCGCACCATCCAGCAGTGTTGTGAAAATATCCTGCTGAATGCTGCTTGGCTAAAGCGAGATGCTGAGAGCATTCACCAGTACCTCCTTCAGCGAAAGGCCTCGCCACCTACGGCGTGAACCCTGAGCGCCGCCACCGCGGTTCTGCTGCTTGGCTGCAGGGATGAGGTGGGGCTACCGAACAGCTGATTCATATGCCGAGAATTTGGAGTCTTCTTTCAAACCAGTGGGGGTTGGACGATGAATGTAGTTAACTGGTTCCTGCTCACACTCCAGAATTAAATTCTATTGAAAAAGGAAAATCAGCAATTCAGCAAAAAAATAAGTAAATAAATAAAAATAAAAAATAAAAAATGTAAATATGATAGTAATAAAATAGAGCATAACGAAACTGTGAAACTTCCTGAAGCCTTGTCAGTGGTTAAAAGTATTTAACACTCTCCTGTTAATGACAGATGTTCTGTTTTTATAACCTACCAAAAGGAAACTAGAGGCTTCTGGGTGAAGAAGATTTTTTGTGAAGTGGGTTCTGCGAGCAGCCTACAAGCCAAGGGTAGTGTCCATTGCTCTGGGAATGGTTAAACGTGAAAGGCTGATAGCTGGTATAACATAGAGTCTGTGCATAATTCCAAGTGTTTTTTGGTTTTTTGTTTTTGGGGTTTTGGTTTTGTTTTTTTTTTTTTTTTTTTTTTT